GCATATATTGTGGTTTAATCAGATCCACTCTCCCTATCTTGCTCAGGAAGTCTTTATGTATTAATTTATTCTTTGAGCATACTTCATTCCCCCACCAGAGTTAAAGTTCCTCAGGACAGGAACTCTTTCTTCCTCTTCTAGCTATGTATAGGTCAGGCTATTATTTGGTACTAAGAACTTGATACAGGTATGCCTGAGGAATGTTAGAGGAGGCAGCAAAAAACAAACAAACAAAAAAGAGGCTGGGGAAAGTTGTACTCTTATTTTCATGTAGTATGATTTTAAAACGAGATTTTCGAATTCACCAATAGTCCCTTGCAAAGGCCCCTAGTGCTGGGCTCCACTATAGCACTTGTAGTCACCTCTGCATTTAGAATGAGACTGACCTGGGGTGGGATGGGGAATGGGTAGGAGGCACCAGGAAGGTCTGAAGGAAGAGAGGACAACCTGTTACCAAGGGCTTAGTGGCTTGGAAGTTATTAGTTTGTGGATATCTGGTCCTGCCATTTACTACTGATTCTTGTTCATCCTCCGTCAAATCTCTTCAGTGCTCTTGAAGTCTCATTTTCTGCACAATAACCTGAGAAGAGGTTGATGCACCTGAGCTCCTTCAGTTAGGTGATTTGCCCCCTTTGGCTCTGATATTCTGGTTAAGGCTCAGTAGATGATGTCTCTGAGGATGTGAAGCAATTCAGGGAGAAACTATAGGCAATATACAGAAATAAGTCTGAGCTGAGCCTGCTTTTAACCCAGCAGTAGAAGCCAGCACTGCCCTGTGAAAAGCTTGTTTGAGGGGGTGATATTAGTATTGGGTCTTCAATGACAAAACTTTACTAATAAGAATAAGGAGTAAAGGAAGGGCAAAGTCTGAAGGACTTGAGAAACAGCATGGTTATTTAAACAAATAGCATATAATCTAATGTTAGTCTAGGAACTGTGTTGGACTTCCACAGTTAGAGGGACCATGCTTACTGTGGTAAAAATCAGATGTATCTCAAGATGCAGGTCACAGGGACAGAAATTTCATACTTTACAAACAAACTGGAATATATACATACATATGTTTATGTGGTATGGTTTTTGTCATTAATGTTCTTAAAGAAAGAGTCCTTAGTGATTAATAGACAAATAGTTTATGCAATAAATAAGAGTGGTTACAGTTCATTGTTGTCAACAATATAGCATTTTCCATCACAATCATAGGTGAAACAAATTGAAACCTTATGAAATAGTCATAGCATATTCATGCTAATGAGAACATATTATGAAGCACTGCACATGCATTATAGGGGCAGACAAAACTGGGGAAGGGATATATTTCACTCACCTCTTGTTGGCTCTGTGTATTTTGTCATTGAGACTTACATTATGTTTGGGTCAAACAAGAAACCCAAAGAGGTTTTATAAAAGTTTACAACCATTAAACAGTATTGTTTAATCCCACAAATGGATAAAGCAAACTACTATAGCTCAATGATACACAAACCAGGACTAAAAATAGTCAATCTGCCTATGTATATAGCTAGCTATAATACAATAGATATTGAATATGCTGAGTCTTTACAAAGGCATTGACTACTTTAGATAAGCAGGTTCCAGAAATGTACTGGTTTGGTTTCCAATGATAACTAACTAGTGCCTTTTCAGTTGAAGACTATGCACTCCTCAGTATCAGACCTGAGGAGAAGCAAACTTGGGGAAGGCAGAAAAAGGTTAGGAGGAGACCTGAGCAGGGCTCTTTGGACAGCTCGGCATTACTTTCCCTGTGCAGATCCAGACCTGGTTCACAGAGTAAAACAAAGTGTATTGAAATTGTTGGCCCTCAAAAAGGGCATTTTGTACAAAGTCCCATACTTACAACATAGATAGAATGGTAACTGAGCGCCTCTCAAAATGAACTCTTCCGTGTTAGAAGAAAACTCAGTGACAAAGGTTAATGGACATCAATGATTGAATTCCTATATAAAGATGATTTATTCCAAAATAGAAAAAATGAATTTTAGAGAAGTATTCTCCTAAAAACTAGCAGGGGGTAGGAAGAAAGAGGGAGTGGAGAAAACCATGCTGTGTGTTTCATTATTTCGAAGAAGAAAAGTTTTGTAGACCATTTCCATAAGGCATCTGTCATATCTATCATTCTCCCTTCTATACCTGGCACCTTAAGAGAGTGCAATGGTTCAATGTTACATTTGAAAAGGCTCCTACTCTTTGAGCTGTCTTATAGAAAGGGTACCCTGAATTGACCATGCTACTCCAGGGTCACATTTATCCTAAGGTCAAAATGAAAACAACAACAAAGTCACAAAAGGAAAAAAAAAGTCACAGAATGTACAAAAATCTAAGGCCTGAACAGGCACAGACTTGCTATGAGGTCAGAAAAATCAGTGAGAGAATTTAAATTACAAAGCACCTCTTGCAAAATATACTGTTTCTTGAAAATCACACAAAACACTGTGCAGTAACCCCTGCTAAGTGCTTGGAGGTAAGTATCCTGAAGGACACATGCTTAGCCCCATGAAAGAGGCTGTTATTATCAAGGGAGCCAAGGGGGTCCCAATGCTCTTTGTTATTTGCTGTTTTTATAATTATAGACAGAAATGGAAAAGTCGAGAAGTATGCAGACCTCCAATATAAAGAAAATGTCACTCTACTATAATTTAACTAAGAGCCAAGCTTGGATTTGCGCATTCATAGTTGTACAGCTCCATTATAGATTCTTGCAGATGATTCACTAACATTGACACTTTTTACACAAAATTCCCTTTTCAAGGACACATTAAATAGCCTAAAGAGAACTTACGCAATATAATGCTTGAAATTGGACACACAATAGCTGTGCACCTAATAATAAAGAGGCCTTGAAAAATTGTCTACTACTACTACTGCCCTTTGGAAATAAAAGCTCCCTCACGACCCCTGGGTTACTTCCCTGTGACACACAGTGCCACAGATATCACGGTGAAAATTCAGTACCAAACCTAGTTTAAGATGAGTTTTGTACATTTGTTTCTATACAGTCAGGAAAAAAAAGAGATACAATTTGTATCAACAAAAGGTCATTTCTGGTTTTTTGAGGCATTGCTCCTAGCCACTTTGGTTCATACACATTTTATGAAAGGAGAAAAATGACAATTGTTTTTAGGAAATAAGAAATACATATGCTTCCTTAAAAATATTTCCTGTATTGGGAGGAGCTTACAATTATTTTGAGTACTAAATATGAACATGTTCAAGATGAATTGCAGCTGACAAGATTAATCTTGTGCTTCCCTGTCAATTGTGCAGCTAGTGGATACTGCAGTGCCATTCATGATTTTTGGTAGGAAGATGAACTAGCACAAAGGCATTGTGATAATCTGAGATTGTCAAATACCCTGATTTAGACATGGGGCAGATTTAGAAGGTCCAAGAAGTTGAGGGTATGAAGTGGTGGTGTATGAAATAGCAAGGTCTGCAGTGGCAACTGTCACTCTCTGGGGACCTATCTGATTGAAAAATACTTTTACATTTAATCAGTATGCTGGGGGATGGGAAGATTAGAGGGTAGGAGATGAATGTGAAGCTGTGGTTAAGTGAATAAAGCATTGGTTAAGATGCAGTGTTGATCAACTTGGACAGAGACAGAAAGCAGCATGCAAGCCATTGTCAAACTACCAGAAACAACCCTGACTACAGCCTCACATTCGGAGTGTTTCACAGTAAGAAACATTTATAGGCAGTGTCACACCTTCTCATGAAGAAACAAAAGGCCAAGGCCAGGCCTTCTCAACTTTCATGAAAAAACGACCATAGAAGTTAGCAATTTCCAGCTCAAGAAATAGTGAGCTGGTCATGGTTCAAAATGTTAAAATATACAGTGGATTCAAAAAGGGGGTTCATTTAGTGCAGCTTAAAAAAAACCAATAAACACCTCTTCTAGAGGCATTTAGCTACAAAGGTTCCCACCCTGAGCAAGATACAAATTGCGCAAATGGTGCCACCCAACCCCAAAGTCATCTTCTTTATTGATGCATCTAAGAATTATCTAATGGCAAGTGCACCCTCTTTGCATGGATTTGAAGTGCATAACTGAGCCAGCAATTAGCAAAAATGCAGCATCCCCTTTAGAAGCTGTCTTTTTCCACTTAGAAAATCCCCTGGTTTGTTTCCTAAAGAAATTCTGCTCTACCAATGATAGACCTTATTGCCCAAAGGGTGAACAGCAGGAGAAAGTGGATTACATGGCTATGCACTGTCTTCCATTACATTTTATCCTGTGATGTTGAATACTGCATAGGTCAGAAGTCCAAAAAGCATCCATTAGTCCCTCCTTGTGTGAAGCTTTTGTATTCATCGTTTAATGCCACATGGGTTTGGCCATCTCTCCTGGGATAAGGGGAGTGGACTCTGGAAGTAAGTCCCTTAGTTCTGGTCAGACTCTTCTGCGCTGTGTAGTACACATATACTATGTGTGGAACTTGAGCTTATCCAATATCTCCTCTGCAGAAGGCTGCAACCTGTCCCCTAATTTGTTGAGGTGAAGAGACTTGGAAGTTAAGAACTGTTAATAAACATTGGCAAGTAAAAAGTGCAAAGGAAATATAGCTGGTTCACTCTGGTGCCTAAGAAAGCAATGTTCAAATATTGGCATTTAATTTTACTTTTCAATCTAGTTGAAACTATGAAATGTGACAAAATCATCAAGTCAGATTCATGATCTATACAGCTGTAGACTAAGGACTATGTACAGTCTACCTTCTCATCACTATATAAAAATTTATACCAGAGATACACACATACACATCAAAAATCAAATATATACATTCATACATGCAATATAATTGCTAATAGTAGGCTTTAAATATAGCTCTAGAAGATTCAATGTGACCTTATAATTTCATTAATAAAGAGAGTGAATGAGCAAATATCCATGCAATAAAGTATGTGTTTACTTTTAAATATATTTAAATGTTTCTATTTAAAAAACATAAAAGGTTAATTCAACATATGATCTGATCCTGATGCTTTTGCTCTTCAAATTGGATATATTATCCGTACTTTGAAAACACTGGTAATGGAATCCCTTGGGGCTTCTTGCATTTAGGCCTTTCCCCTTGGGTTTTGTCCTCCATTACCTGCATGGTGCAGTGCAAAGGACAGGGGACTTGGAGTCAAAGGACTTGGGTGTGTGTCTTGACTTGGTCATTTGCTAGCAGCATGACCTTGGTAGGTCACTTAATCTCACTGAGTTTCAGCTGCCTTCTCTATAGTAAAACCTACCTCACAGGGTCGGTATGCGCTTAAATGATGTAAACACTCCTAACTTTTAAAGCGCAATGCAAATTATTAGTTACTATGATTATAGTATTAGTGTATTATTAGCATTAATATTCATATGTATATAAAGGAACAAGTCCTTTGTCACGTCAACGTGCAGCCCTAAGCTTGGCAACAATCAAGGCTGCCAGTTGCTGGGCATCTGCTGTATGGGGATTCTTCTCCATCACTGCAAGAACGATGTTAGAAGGGAAAATATTGCAGAGGTTTTTGTAGGTCTGAAATTGGTGCTCTGGGATCATATGCTCCCTGGAATCATTGCACATTCCAACCCAAGGATTCCTCCAAAGCTGCTCCATCTTTTCAGGCACGCTCCGTACCATGACTGGCTCATAACATGGTTGCATGAGGCTGTTACTTAAGGGATAGGAGTGGTAGCCATAGGAGTCAGTTGCACAGGGCAGCGGGTCCCAGCTGGCATGCTGTTCACGGCACAGAGGAGGTCGTCTTTGCCTCATGGGGTTGCTCTCATAGAGGCGAGAATCAGAAATGCTGTCCATCCGTGTCATCACCAGGGCACGGCCTGACTGTGAAGTTGCCCCAGGATGGATATTAGGAGGCATGGGGTAGTCTCCAGGACAGCTGGATCGTGCTCCAGTTGCTGGGAGCTGGGCATGCAGAGCTAAGTGGGGAACTGATTGCTTGTGGGGGGCTTGCTTGGAATCCTCTGGGCCATAGCTCTGCACTCTCGTTAAGGCTTCATGGTAACCATGAGAAAAGGGCTGAAGACGGTTCTGAGATGCTGAGCGGTGCAGCTTCAAACTGCCTTCAGGATGGGCATCAGCTACAGCCAAGTACAGGTTGTTGTAAGAGGAATAGTTGTCGTTCCTGGTATGGCTCATGCGGCTGTCAGGACAGAGATTGGGATTCCGAGCATACACCCCCCGGTCTGCTTCAGCCATGTAGTACTCTCGATTGTGCATGCTGTTGATGTTCAGTTTGGAGAAGTCGCCTAACATCGAATAGTAGCCATGGTCCCCCATGGACTCAAACTTTGGGTATTGCTCAGCATAGTTAATAGGGGTCCCATGGCTGTTGGTAACCAGGATAGGGGGGTACTGCATGCTGGCCATGTGCTCCAATGAGGCCTTCTGGTGGGGGAAATGAGAGGATCCTGGCACTGGGCTGCTGGCCGAACGGGTGTTGAGTGCACCCACTGCATGGCTTTTGGGGGGTGGGATTGTGGGAACACTTAGGGCGGTCACAAGTGAGGGGACAGAGCTGGCCTCAGGCTTACGGGCAATGGACAGCCATTCCTCAGGCTCCACAGCCACAGACCGGATGCTGGGATCTGATTGGCGCTTGGGGGCCACACGTTTGACCTCTGAGGTTATCTCACCTTTGGCGCTAGACATCCCTGTACCACACTTGGCTAGGGTGCCTTCGCTCATGGTTTTCACTGTGGATAGTTTGGCACTGATGCGGAGCTCATCAGCCACCGAACGCTGGGGTTGGTTGGCCCGCTCCGGATGGTAGTATTTGCACTTGTGGCCGTAGGTGCATTTTTTGCCTGAAAAATAATGCCTTGGGTTAAGACTCTCTCTCATAGTAGTGTAACCCTCTGTGCCAGAAACTGTTGTAATAAACTGGTCACCCAGGTTATGATCAGACACTTTGAGGTTAAGGCAGAAAATTAACTGTCCACAAAGATGAGAGACAGACAACACCAAGGAGCATCACACACTGAAATGAGAGGGAGCAAGTGAAAAGCTGGGGAGGAATCAGCTGAGCAGTTGAATAGTCTTGCATTTCTGGTAATGTGCAACTTGGCCTAGGGATAATCTGCATGCTGAGGCAGCCTAGAGTAAAGGAAGGCAGTATGATACAGTACAAAGAACACAGGATTGGAGGCTAGTAGAACCCAAGTTTCAATTATAGCCATATTCCTCACTGGGCCGTGTGACCTTAGTAAACGATACTTTCCCCCTGAGCCTCATTTTCCTCTTCTGTAAACAAGCTTCATAATTATGTCTCTATTATAAGATCATTGTAATGAAGAGTTACAGGGTGTGGAAATACTCTGTGATTTAAATGTTGAGGAAAAAACCAAAATGCTCACCCCCCAAACAAAGAGAAAACAGACCAAGCAGGCCATGTTACAGTTAGGCTCATATACTTTGTATCAGAGGGACTTGGGTAAAGTACAAATATACTGTAGAAAACTGTACTAAAAAATAGAAAAACCAATGATAATAAAGTTTTTGGCAACTGGAAAGCACAGATCAGAAGAACAGGGTTTTCCTAATTGACAGAAGGTTCAGTAACCTGCCTGAGAGATATGTTCTTCTTGGGCCAAACCCAATTTGGTATTGCCTTTTCTGATTCAGGAAGTCAGGTAGGTTTCTGCATTTCTCTGCTCCCCACAACAATGTTTGGTCCTTAAGCACTAAAGCACATGTGTTATTTTAATGAGTGGCAACTAGTTTTCCCTTCAATTCTGGTTTCCTTTTCCTCAAACAGTTTCTAAGGTTTTTCTTTAAATGCTTAACTGAGAGTACAAGAAGATAAGAACTTTATCTCACAGAAAATGGACAAGCCAAGATTTCCCATTTGAAAGGGAAATCTGGAAAAGAAAAGTATTCATAGAGTTCTTATGTTTCCCTTAGAACAGAGCTCAGTTCTGCATATAGGTACTCACCATAAGGACATGGTTGCTTCTTATGCTCGGGAACGACAGGTCTCTTTCTTAAGAAATTTTCAAGGCTTGGTCCATGACGTCCTAAAGGATCATCTGGAGGCATAAATCTGAAAGCAAGCAAGCAATGGGTGAATGTCTTTCCTTCTGTCCCTATGCTACCTCTTATGGGAATTTCAGACCTTCATTACCTCTTCTCTGTTCTATTGTGACAGCCTTCTAACTGTCCTTCCTGCCTCAAGTCTATCTTTTGTTGACCCAGCATTTCTGCCTTTCATTCCTACTGGATCACATAGAAAGGATAATTTTTCCCTATGCATCATTCTTCCATGGATTATATGTTCCAACCATACTGGCATATCTGCTGGGTTCCCCCTACATGCCACCCATGTTCACTCCTTCATAGCTTTATTCATATTGTTCTCTACATCTGTTGTGTCCAGCAGCCCTCCCTCCTCTATCTGTAAACTTCATTTCAAATGTTATCTTCCCTAGGAAGCTTTCTCTTATCACTTCACATGGACAAATTAAAAATAAAAGTTTACTGTAGTGCTTATCACAACACATTGGGTGGCCTTTTTCTTTGTCTTTTCCACTATACTTTGAGCCCCTTGGGTGGGAGTCCTGTTTTTCATTTAGTCTTTTATCTCCATGGCAACCAGCATCATGCATGGTACACAATAAGTGTTCAATAAATGTATATTGAAATGAAATGAAATCTACTAGTAACTTGGATATAGGCTATTCAGAGCCTATTGGAACAAAACGCACTTGTCATTCACAAAAGAATACATCAGCAACCGCTCCTCTATAAACTTCTTCCATTCTGGCTTTTCAACTTGAAGGTCTCTGTAGTTATCATTGGATACAATGATGCCGTCAGAATCAAAAGCCAATTTGACTATGAACCGGTCATCATAGCAGACAACCCTTCTGCCCTGGACCCTTCGGGATGGTGTGAAGACAAGAATCTTTTCCTTCTCCAGTTTACGTAGAATATCTTGATCTGTTGAAATATGATTATATGCCACAGAATAGAAATCATGTTTGGAACTTAACACCATTATCCCCATATTACAATTACAAATAAAAGAGTTAGATGAATACGCTATTTATCCTTAAGACAGCAAGTGGGCTCAATTTCTGGCCATGATATCAAAATTGAATTGTGACCTTAGATAAAGTCACCTTCAGATAGAATGAAGGAACTGGATTCAGTCACATTTAATTTTTTAAAACTACCATGAAGAATGAGTAGTAACACTGATTGATATCCTACATTCTTCTTTCTTTTTTCTTTTTTTTTTTGGTCATACTGGGGATTGAACCCAGGGTTGCTTCTACCACTGAGCAACATCCCCAGTCCTTTCTTACTTTTTATTTTGAGACAGGACCTTGGTAAGTTTCTGCAGCTGTACTTCGACTTGGGATCTTCCTGCCTCAGCCTCCCAAGTTGCTGGGATTACAGGCATGTGCTACTGCACTTGGCTATCCTAGCATTTTGCACTTTAGCTGAAGGATCAGCCTCTATTGTGTGTGTGTGTGTGTGTGTGTGTGTGTGTGTGTGTGTGTGTTTCTGGAAATCAAACCCTGGTCCTCAAACCTCTAGGCAAGTACTCTACTATCAAGCTATACCCCCTACCCCAGCATTAGCTTTTGGGCTGATGAAGAAAACAGGGCAGTAGTTGAGGGTATGTCTGTCAGGAGGAAAGTAAAGCATCAATCCTAAGGATTTACATTTTTGGCTTCTGCTTGAAGGAAGGACAAAACTCAGGTGGAAAATCAGGCTATAGGATTTGAGTACTGACCCCCTTTCTTTTTGGAATTTTGATTGCTGAGGAGAGAAAGCTTTTTAGTTGGGCTTGAGTAGGGCCAGTACATGATCTCAGACTGAGGCTTGGAAGCCTGTTCAGCAGATAGCAGACAGCTCCACACACAGATCAGACAGCTATTCACTGGAATTTCTCATTAGGCACAATGGGCAAGACCTAATGCTCACTGGACTGCGGTCTATATGCTCTCAAATTCTGTAAGGAATTTTTGACTGCATTTATCATTGTAAATGAACATAGTAACACTTTACTGCCATTAAGAAGACTACATTTATACTTTTGAAGACCTTGGGCACTTTTGCCTTCATGAACTCCATTCTCCATAAAGAAATATTAAAAATTTCAGTTTATTTTAAATTTTTGTTGGTACTGGGGATTGATCCCAGGGCCTTGTGCATGCTAGGCAAGCACTCTACCACTGAGCTACATCCCCAGCCCCCAAATTTAATCTTAGAACTACATTGGTATAAAGTCAACTATAATTCAGTTATATTATTATACATCCAATATCATATTCATTTTTTCTTTTGATGTCAAAATAAAAATATTTTTGTGGAACTTTAGAAATATCATCAGCCCTAGGCTTTCAGCTTACTATGCTTCATGGATAAGTTGGTTCTGTCTTGGGACTTTCTACCTCCTACTTTGCAATCCCATAATCACTACTCTGGTACAGTATGAGATCCATTGTCTCTCATGGTTTCTTTAGTTTTTTGAAAATTTCAGTCATGTTTATAATCAGATTCATACCTCTGTAGTCTTAAGTCTACGATCAAATAGAAAAGCACTCTTGGTTTTCAACTATGAGCTTTATTGTTTGCTGAATTGAAGTTATCTCTAACTACTACATGCCACTAAACAATGATGGTTTTATATGGATCACTTTATCAAAACTACCCTTAAAGGGTGGGAATGTGGATCAGTGGTAGAGCACTTGCCTAGCATATGTGCGGCTCTGGGTTTGATCCCTAGTCCTGCAATAAATGAAAAATACAAATAAATCTAGTGAGTGTTTAAGAAATATACTTAAGAAGAGACATTTAAAGTATACTTAACAACTTAGAAAAATATTAATCTAAATTGGGACCATCAGCCTCTCTCTAAACTCTCTTGCTAGCTTTGCCTATAGATGACAAGAAATGTCTTATTTGAAATAATACCTGTAATTGGTGCATCAGGGCGGGATTGCTCCTTTCTCCAAGCAGGCACAAATACAGTGATATCCTTGTGGCCTTTTTCTAGAAACCAATCCACAGCAAGTTGTATTCCTCTACAGGAGAACTCTTCTTTATTCCCATGACTTTAGAAAAAATAGAGAATAAGAGGAAAGAGGATTAACAACAGATAGAAAAAACAAAAAATAAAAACAAAACCCCCAAACAAACAAAAAACAAAACAAACAAACAAACAAACAAACACTGAAAAGCCCAAGGGATTAACATCAAGGGATTAACAACACATATTTTTTTATTCCTTGATGATGCCAAAAATTATATTTTTTTGTTTCACAACAATTTTTTGGGTACTGGGGATGTTACAACTGAGCTTTGCCACTAAGCTATACCCCCAGACCTTTTTAATTTATTTTTTACTTTGAGACAGCGCCTTGAACTTGTGATCCTTCTGTCTCAGTCCCCTAAATTGCTGGGATTAACATTATAGTCCAAAGAATGTATTTTTAAAATATTTTTAGCTGTATATGGATACAATGACTTTATTTATTTTTATGTGCTGTTGAGGATCAAACCCAGTGCCTCACATGGGCTAGGTGAGTACTCTACCACTGAGCCACAACCCCAGCCCCAAAGAATGTATTTTTAAAAGAACAAATCAAACTTTTAAAAATTAAATTGTCACAAATATTTCCACATTATAAACTTCACAGAAGGCCACAGATGGTTAATAAAAACTCCTGTAGTAGCCTTGGTGACCATTGCCTATTATTGTTTTCATTTTCTCTCTATTTCTACTGCCAACTTTTCCCAAAGATTCAGATATTCAAACAGATGGAAAAATAGTGGAGGCTTTACCAGAGGGTTACATGGAGGATTAGTTGGGAGATGAGTTATTAAGCTTAAAAATAACATGACAGAAAAAGGATACATACATAAATATTGACAGAAAATGTTTATCACTTATATTCGCTTAATTAAATGTAAAGCACTAAAAATAATATTTTTGAAAAATTTAAGGTATAAGAAAAACAATAAAATTCTATAAAAAAAGAAAGGATATATGGCGTTGAGATTACATATGAGTATGTTCTTAATTTTTTTTTTTTTTTTTGAGATGGGGTCTTGCTGTGTTGCATAGGTTGGCCTTGAACTCCTGGGCTCAAGCAATCTTCCTGTCTTAGGCTCCTGAGTAGTCAGGTCTATAGACAAGTGCCACAGTGCCCATTTTGTAATACCAATTTTGCAGAAAAAAATCCATATATAAACTTAGAAAAATACTAGAAAGAGATACATAAAACATTAATTGTCATTATGTGTTAGATGTTTATTAGTGACTTATTTTATTTCCCTAATTCTAAAATTCCCTCAAAAAACCAAGCACTCTTTTATAACCAGAAATGATATAATAAGAGATGAAATTCTATCACAATTACTTATAGGAATAAACATTGTTCAAATTTAAAAGGCCACACAGAATTCATCTGAATGGAAATTGGAAGAAGGAAAATTAGCAGAAAAATAGGGAAAAGATGCATAGTATCTATTGCCACCATCTTCAAAACTCAAAAATTGTGTACCAGTTTTGTGTCTAGTTTGGCTGTAAAAATGATGATCCCTTAGCATGGTATCAGGTGCTCTAACATATACATAAATCACGCTAAATTATAGTTAATTAACATGCTCCAGTGGAAAAACAAATTGACATACAAGCACCAATTCTATCAAAATCAAGTGGATGTTGTTTGTTAAACAAGACTAATCAAGAGACAAGAACTGTTTTGTTGGTAGGCACATTAAGACAATATGATGGGGGCGGGGCTGGGGGTGTAGCTCAGTGGTAAAGCACTTGCCTTGCATGTGTGAGGCACAGGGTTTGATCCTCAGCAACACATAAAAATAAAGATATTGTGTGTTCATCTACAACTAAATAAATGTTAAAAATCCAGAGACTAGTATCAACATTATTTTTTTAAAAAGACAATATGATGGGTCCTCTCATGTTAGATTCTTCTCTTTCTCATTGGCACTCTTATACTCAGCTCCAACAGAAATTAGCTCTAATTACACATATTTTTCCCTTTGGGTGAATTCACATATAATCTCATGAGCCTCATGAATACATGCACTGCAAGACTTCCCATTATTTTATCACTTTTTTGGCACATTGCAAAAATTTATTAACTGATTTGGTTAACATTTCTAAGCATATGTTAGCCATCTTAAAAGTACTCAGTGACTACCACAGAGCAATTATATTACTCTACTCAAAGTCAAAAATATTTAAGGAAAAATGGGGGTACATTTAACTGCCAATACACTCCAAGGCAGCTTTGGAAACAGCTACCATTGATTGCTTCTAAAAATTGTTTAATGAGAAATCCCAGCATTTATAGGGTTAATATTGGATAAATCCAACATGAAACAGACAGATAGGGAAGTTGTGAGTTTTCCCCACTATAGTGATGGTAAATATAAAGAATAACAAAGGAGCCATGTGTGAATTTGCACACCTGTCATCCCAGCTACTGGGGCAGAGGCAGGAAGATTAAAAGTTCAAGGCTAATCAGGGCAATTTAGCAAGACTCTGTCTCACAATAAAATTTAAAAAAAGAGCTGAGTTCATTTCAACATTCATTGCTTGAGGATGGAATATAATTTGCTCCACATCAATCCCTAGTACTTTCCCTTTCTCTCCCCCCTCCCTCCCTTTGTTCCCTTTCCTCTAATCTACTGATATTTATTCTATCTATTTGTAGTATTTTAAAAATTAGTACATTATGGTTTGCATAAAAGTGACATTCACTGTGATATTTTCATATATGTGCATAGTAAAGTTTGGTCAGATTCATTTCTTGGTTCCCCCAATATTATGCATAACTAAAAGGAACTAATAAAAAGACAGGGAATTGATTTTTAAAAAGAGCTGGGGATGTAGCTCAGTAGCAGAACATTTGCCTAGCATGTGCAAAGCATGGGGTTCAATTCCCAGTACTGGAAGAAAAATAAAAACCAGAACTTGGGAAAATGACCAAAAGTATCATTAGAAAGGGAATTTAGAGGAAGGGGATGAAATTTCATTTTGTTTGGCTTTGCAGTACTATAATCTTGTTTTAAACATTGTTTATCTCCAGAAATAAATACAAGAATAACTTTTTTTCTTGAATACTGCAACTTTATATTTTATACTTCCAAATTCTTTGTTTTAAATATTTTATCATTAGAAATGTATATGCTTATGGCATAGAATGTGGAAAATGTATAAAATATAAAGAAAACCCTGAAGATCCAACTGTTTTACTACCACCCAGAAACAACACTGCCAGTATTTTTGATACATTTGATTTTTATATCAATTTCTTTACATACTGAGAATTGTTAAAAATCATGCCATTGGAGCATTCCATGAGTACATACTGAGCATTCCATGATACATACTGTGAAATGCCCAGTAAGAATCAGAAGGTAATATTAATCAAAGTAGCAAGGAAGACCTACAAAAGAGTTCAGTATGTAAAGTTTAATGCCCAATGAATGTTTAAGGAATGGATTTATTTTTTAAAAGAAAGCAATAAAGTAATGCTTGCAAGATAACCCATTTTTGCCCAAACATATAAAAGGTCATTTTGCAATTTAAAAAGGCTAAAAAGCTCAGAACCTGCAGTCACAGTGAAACTTGAATCTTGGTGAAACTACTCCTTACTTTTTCTTGTAAACTGCTTTAGGAACATATCATGATCCAGGCTATCAAGCAAAATTCTGCATAGCTGGCTTCTCCCTTGCAATTTTTTGGTAGGGTTCAAATATTTGAGCTTCTTTCAGACTTAACAAAGAATCCAGTGCCATTTACATTTCAAAGTCCAATTCCTCTGAATTGGATTTTTTCTCCCAAAGGAAACAGCTCTCAGAATGAATGTACCCTTTAGGATCTTAGCACATATCTTAGCATATTCACAGTATGTGAATCACAGGTACACCATTTCAAATGTTAAACAAATGCCATCAATGGCAAACAAAGTATCATAATTTTAACATAGGCTTATCCAACATGCTGAGGAACAACAGATGTTAACATGTAATTTGTGTAAGAAATACAAATCTCATGGTAAAGCTATAGCCAGCTAATGGGGAAAACTAGATTAAGAACAGTACTGAATTCATAAGTGGATTATAGCACTGAACTTTGACCATGTGAAATGTGATTGGAGAATAAGTGGGATCTGTAGGTAAGTAACCTGGCCAGATAAGAAAGACACTAACAAGGACAGATTTGGCAACACTTCTTTTTTCCTAGTACAGATTATTGAGTTGTGGGTCTCACACATGAGAGGCAAGCATTCCATCAACGAGCTACATCACTGGCTCTTTTTTAAAAAAAAATTATTTTGAGACAGGGTCTTACTAATTCCCAGGTTGGCCTTGAATTTTTGATCTTCCAGCCTTATCCTCCTAGGTAGCTGGGAATTCAGTATGTGCCATGATGCCCAGCTCATAGTTGGCAACTAAAGAAATCATGTGGTCCACTATGTACTGTCTTAATATGCTATTAAAGTAAAGTTGAGTAGTAATTTTTTTTGCTTTATTAAACTCATGTGAAGTACCTTTAATTTAGCAAAGCAACACATCAAGGCATAATTTGCTACCGGCACAGACTAGATATGTTCAAACTAATTACCTATGTAATTAATCTCTTCACTATTCTTTCCAAACAAAGTAACTATAGAATGTCCTTCATCCTCAGGGATCACTGAACAAGGAAAATCTTATATCACCATGAAGTCAAAATCCCTAAGAAACCTGGTTTCTTTTTATCTCCAACTCTAAAACACAAAACCCATTAAGAAGGGCAGGTTTTGGGAAATAGGCCCAGTCTCTGGTGTTCTGGGTGGTCTGGTGTGGGTAGAGATTGAGTTGGGCAGGTCATATACCCATTAAGCTTAAGAATCACTCTAGCTTATGACTACTAGGAGAAGAGCTGAGATACTTCTTTTTTTTTTCACTTTTGAGTAAAAAAAATCATCCTCTGCTTTTAATTGATCCACTGCATCATTTTGATTGCTGTAGTGCTGTATTTGGGTCATTTAGCTTTCTCGTTACTATGCTTCTGGTTTCCCCTCATTAAAACAGGGATGATGTTTTGTCTGCTTTATACACCTTGTGTTGATGCCATCAGGATTAAAAAATTAGAAAATCTGTAAATGTATTCTCTGCTACTAGTAGAAATGCCAAATATTCTTAATAACATTAATGGCCACACAATACTGCATGATGCTGTATCAAAAGAGAATTAGAGTCAGATTCTAAGCTTTGATACTTATTACCTATATAACCTTGGACAGTTATTTAATCTTTCTAAACCCCGAGCCTCCTCACCTCCAAAAATGAAATGAATTAGTCCATTTTGGTGGGATTTTCAGTGAGGATTAAATTACATATGCAAAAAGACCTGGCATAGGGCTGGGGATGTGGCTCAAGCGGTAGCGCGCTCGCCTGGCATACGTGTGGCCCGGGTTTGATCCTCAGCACCACATACAAACAAAGATGTTGTGTCCGCCAAAAACTAAAAAATAAATATTAAAAATTCTATCTCTCTCTCTCTTTAAAAAAAACGACCTGGCATAAAATAGATTTTCATAAATCTCAGTCTTTCATTCATCCAAAGCCTGAAGTCTTAAGTTATAGTAATTACTGTGCTAATAACTAGTTATGTACATTAAGAGAGGTCATTTAAACTTTTTAGTTTCAGTTTTCAAATCTGTAGAATAAAGTTGCTATGTGTATTAAACATGACTATATACTAAAATGTACTTCCAGATAGCCTGCCAAGCTTTATTCCTCTATATAGCAATGGTATGGTTCCTTTTTTTGTTCAGTACTGGGGATTGAACCCAGGGTCTTAACCACTGGGCAACATCCCCAGACTTTTTTTATTTTTTAATTTTTGATACAGGCTCTCGCTAAATTGTTTAGGGCATAACTAAATTGCTAAAGCTGGCTTTGAACTCACAATCCTTCTGCCTCTGCCTCCTGAGCTGCTGGGATTACAGACATGTGCCACCATGCCAGCCAATGGTATGATTTTTTTTTTAAAGAGAGAGAGAGAGAGAGAGAGAGAGAGAGAGAGAGAGAGAGAGAGAGAGAGAATTTTAATATTTAATNCACAACATCTTTGTTTTGTATGTGGTGCTGAGGATCGAACCCGGGCCACACGCATGCCAGGCGAGCGCGCTACTGCTTGAGCCACATCCCCAGCCCAATGGTATTATTCTTAAGACTTAATTTCCACCTCTACTTCTTGTACCTCATTAGGAGCACCCTATACTGGGCCACATATTGTAGGAAAAATAAGGGATGCATAAAGCAAGTTCCTTGCCCTCAAATACAATGGGATAATATAATTTAAAACTTTCCAGACTGACATCCTCAAAGACAATGGGGTAATATAATTTAAAACTTTCCAGACTGACACTTTTATTTTGTTCTGGTTTTGTATGATTTAAGGAATGCAAGTGAATCCATCAAGCAATGGTGGACCTGATGGGTAGTAGGATCCTGATCACTGGGCATTTTAAGCCGAGGTTGGATGACAATTCACTGGGGAAATAGAAGGGATTAGTGAGGCTCTCTGACATGAAATAAAAAAAAATCACATAAGAGTACAGAATAACATATATAGGCACTATTGGTACTATATTAGTATCTCATTGCTGCTAGTATTTAGCACTTAGTGGCTTAAAATAATACTGATTTTTCTCTTATAGTTCAAGAGGTTAGAAGTTTAAAATCAAGATGTTGACAAGGCTGCATTCTTTCTGTAGGCCTCAGAGGAGAATCTATCTCCTTGTCTTTTTCAGCTCCTGGTGGCCATGTACATTCCTTGGTTACTAGGCCCCTTTCTTATACTATTGATTTTTATTTCCTCCATTGCATCTCCTATTACTACTTATTCTTATCCTGCTGCTCCCTCTAATAAAGACCTCTTCTGCTTACATTGATTCACCTTGATGATGATTAATCTCCTTCTCTCAAGATCCTAACACAAATGTAACTGCAAAGTCCCTTTTCTCACATAAGATAATGTTTTCATAGGTTCTAAGGATTAAGTTTTGGACATCTTTTGGGTCTATTCTTCAGTGTACTGGAGGAATTGTAGCTCAGAGATAATTGATGAGATCATAAAAATCAGGAAAACCTTTGTGAAGATGGTTCAACTTGAAGGGTATGAAGGTAAAGAGGTCATTTTTAGGTTGGGAAATGATAAGAGTATCAGGAAAGGGACTAGAAATCAGCATAATTTATATGGAGACCATTAAAAAGGATGATATAAATGCAATAAGTATTATAGGTGTGTTCAAATGGGAAGAGGAAAAGGTCAGATCATAAGGAGTCTCAGAGACAGACAAGGGGATCCAAAATTGGCAGAAGAGCAATTGAGCATTGCTGAAAGTAAGTAAGTCTCCAAGTGAAATTATGAAGACAGCATTTCAGGATGATTAGTCTAGCTAAATAAGGATGTGACAGCAGACCCCAAGAGCTAAAGGGCTATGACTCCTCTGAAGCATCACTGATTATCAGAGCTGATTTCAAAACACCTGAAAATAAATTTGCAGCAATTTCAAAGGAAAGAGAAAAGGCAAGGGCAGCATCATGATAGACTCTGTCTACAAGACACAGACAACAACTAAGGGCTTCTTTTCAAAGGAATACAATTTATATGAGCTTGGGACAGTTTTTTTTTAAGAGAGAAAAAAAATCACTAGTCTTACCTCATAGCCACATTACTTCCATCAATGACAATTGGCCTCAAATTGTCACTATTGTCTATTTCATCTTCAAGAGACAATTCAGGGCTTGCAATCTCTCTGGAGCCAGGCCCACGGGGCACTAACAGACTCAAGTTGACCTGCCCTTCTGAGTCACCTTTGTTCCCAAGTCTGACAAGCTCTGCCAATACATCATTTATAAGTGATTCTGGACCCAGTTTATTCAGCACTGATTGAATCTGTTCCTCAGCATAGCCCAGCTTTAGAGCAAAGTCCATCTTGGCTTGATATTCCTTCTCTATGTCGAGCTTACCATCCTGTAAAATGCTGCTCTGGGAGAAGCTTGGACGATCCAGGCAGGGTGATCGACAGAGCTGGCGGTGTGGCTTGGAGGGCATCTCCTTTCTCTTCAGCTGACCATCTCCAGGTTGGCAGCTGCTGTTGTTGCTGCTCTTAAGGCTCAACTGTTCAGGGTCACTCTCAGAGCTCATCCACTCTTCAGAATCATTATTGCCCTGCTCGGTACTGTCCTGCTTTGGATGCTGCTTCTCTTCCTTGGAGGCACTCTTCTCCATTTTTGGTGTCTCCACTGCAGCTGTGGCCGTCATCCCGTTCAGTGGATAGTCTGAGGTCTAATCAACTCTTTTTCTTTTTAGCCTGCCTGGAATCCATGTACAGTGACATTCCTCTGTGGTAAAATGTGGTTGCAATGGTGCAAAAGTTTGCCTGTTTGGTTTGGTATGTTCAGATGTTACCAGTCCCTACAAATAAACACATGCCACAATCATCTTTAGTAAACTTCTGAAAAAGAATCTAATAGAAACGTTTCTTCCTAAGAAACTACAGATTCTGTCATTTGATTTTTCTGCTTACAATGATTAGCCTTGCTTTACATTAAAAATAGTCTTCAATTCTAATAATTCTAGACAAAATATCAGTGTTGGCAGTAATGTTGTAATTTCCACATATACATATACAGCTAAAGTTTTCATTTGTCACTACAAGTTTGAGAAAGAAAAACACTGCATTTCAGTAGGGTGAAAAGTATGTGTATTTCTGGATGTGTGCGTGTGTGTGTGTGTGTGTGTGTGTGTGTTGTGCGCGCCCATGTGTGTGTGTTTGTATCTCCTTGGAAAAACTTTTTTCTTCTTTTCTGCGAGAGAAATGTTTCTAGATTCTTCAGCGTACCCTGGCTAAGGCTGAAATCCACTCCTGAAGAGCATTTCCTATTTAGCATTACTCTTTGCAAAATATCAGGAATCCCATCAACTAAACAGACTGAACAATGATTAAAATTGTTTTCATACAACTGAAGTAGTCTGTAAGGGTAACAAATAGGCATATTCCAGATGTAGATGGTGGTATGCACATACTCTCGAATATATATGTAGTCTTATTTATTTGCTCATTTATTTTGAGATAATGGCTATTGAACCCAGGAGCACTCTACCACTGAGATACATCCCCAGCCCTTTACAAGTGTTAATTTTGAGACAGGGTCTTGCTAAATTTCCCACTGGTCTTAAGCTTGGGATCCTTTGCCTCAGCCTCCCAAGCAGCTGGGATGACAGGCATGTACCACTGTACCCCACTGCAGCCTCTTTTATTTATTATAATTGGTAAACAAAAGGAGAAAACTGTATGGCTACAGTGGTACACTCCTTTAGTCTCAGCTTGTCTGATGGTTGAGGAGGAAGGATTGCTTGAACCCAGGAGTTTGGGGCCAGCCTGGGCAATAGACCAAGAAGCCATCACTTAAAAAGGAGAAAACCAACACAACTTTCATGATAAACCAGAACATTTTAAAAAGAATATTAATTACAGAAGAGAATTATGGACTACTTTTATTTACAAACTCCTCTCACCTACCTCATCTTTCTTGGCAGGTTTCAATTATAACCTGTTTTCTTCTCTTTGAATATCAGTTTTCTCAAGTGTGTGAAATGCGGATATTGATAGCCATCTCACATAATTGTAAGGATTACATAAGATGAGTGAGGAAAGTGCAGGAAACACCGTGTTTTTTTTTTTTTTTTTTTTTTTTGCTGGGGATTGAACCCAGGGACTTGTGCATGCAAGGCAAGCACTCTACCAACTGAGCTATATCCCCAACCC